ATTCAAGATATAGCAAAGCAAATCCGGGCACATTGAACAAAACTCGCCTAAAATATTTTACAGTGAAACAAAAATGATAAAGACAATTGCCACAAAATTTCCTCAGTCATTGCAATCCAACAAGATTTTTTCTAAAGCATTCTTATTTCATGGAGGGACCTTCAAATAGCCGTGACTAACAAATAAGTTAATTAACTGAAAGTGTTGATGGTTATAGAAACGTGAAGTTAGCGTTAAGGTGGCGCGTTCATTTCCAATAAATTTTGCATACGAAGAGGATAATGTATTGTAAAAATAATTCGTGTAAAAAGAGGTCACAGTGACCCCCTGCTTTCATTGTTCAATGGCTAACCTAAAGTTCGTTTCAAATCCACTCGAAAAAAACAGATAAATAAATATTAAGTTACACGCTGCCACCTCAAATTCGCTCCACGTCTCTTAAAACCATTCAAAAATTTCGATGTTTCGTATCAAATAACACTTCAGCAACAGTATATAAACTGAAAACAATTGTATGAGCGGTTTTCCAACAGCTTTTGAGAGAGACTTGCCTCGACGTTGGCTTCTGGAAAACGTATTCAACTGTTAACCAATCAGAGGAAAGATAATATTTTCAATTGTTTGCCAATCAGAGTGGAGAAAAGAACAAGTGTATGTGTTCACGCGACTTTTTGAAGGAGTTACTTCTAGTTGCGAAAGCTATAAGTAAGCCGCTCTATAAAATTACTTTCATCAATAAATCTTTCAAAATAATAGGTGGCAAGTATATTTCAAGAACTCGCATCAATAATCAGTGATCTATAGTGAAAACAATGCTTCGTTTAAAACCAAAAAATACGGCGAATTAACCACAGTAAAAAAAAAAACAGCAACAAAAAATCCCTCGAAATAATTTAAAAGGCTTGCGCTTCAAATATATTGCCACCATGGAAAATTAATTGCAAAATCAAATTCTTATCGTTTTGTCGTCCATAAGCTCTTCATGGTTTCCATTCTCCTTGCCTTCATTCAGTCAGTATTCTCCCTGAAAGTTAATAAAGCAAATAAAATCGTTATGTCATGATAGCCAGTAACTTGTTATATATTTAAAATATTAAATTGGCCGCACTATAATTTTAGAACAAGCGTTGTAAAAATATTTAGAATATATTACGAGGGCATTGTTTTGTTGAAGGTGTCAAAGATTGTAAAGCGTTGTTCGGCGAAATTACTCAAAGTTTTACTCGATATATTTACTTTACTACCTCTTCTAGGAATTTTCTAGAGTAATCCACCAAGAATCTTTCTTGAACTGACATTCACTGACACGATTAATATAAATCTGCTACGTTATACATTGACTGAGAGACACAACTCACGTATGTCAATAGCGACTAAACGTGGAAACTTATCTTCGCTATCGCGACGTTTTCGTTGTGGTGAAGCAACGAGCAAAACGTTTAAAATTACTTGAAACTTATTATGACACTTACCATTTATTTTGAAAGTTAATATTCCTGAGTTTCATCTTCCTCGAGGACAGAACTTGTTCTTCTTCGACAAGACATCAATCCGCGTCTTCACACGTGTAACTGTTTGATGCAAATTTTACAAGTTTCATGAATTTCATGAATATGGATTAGAAAATGGAACCAATCACGGCCGTAAGAGCGTGTTTTATATCGGCAAGAGTATTTATTGTTTTCTCTGTACGCTTTCAACGAATCGAAATGCATCGTGAATGGGCTAACAACGACTGTGCAGTATCTAAATAGCTTGTAGAACTACAAAGCGTATATCATTTTGCAACGTACAAAATTATTTTTAGATAGAACTCAAAAGTTTTTGAACGAAGAGAAAATGCCAAGGTAGTTGTAATTACGATTGAAACGGATTTTGAACTTATGAACTGGAATTTGATTTTTTTCTGCATTCCACAATATGTTTGTCGCATACACTATAAAAAGTAAATGAGAGAGTCAAGAGAGCTTGACTGACGAAGGCGCACTATATAACGGGAGTTTTAAAAAAAGGCGTACTATAAAAGGAAGTTTCAAAACGAAGGCGCACTATATATAGGCGCATTGCAAAGTGAAGCCTTGAAAACGAAGGTGAACTTTAATAAGGGAGGTTTGAAAAACGAAGGCGCACTATAAAGGGAAGCTTGAAAACGAAGGCGCACTATAAAGGGAAGCTTGAAAAACGAAGGCGCACTATAAAGGGAGGCTTGAAAAACGAAGGCGCACTATAAAGGGAAGCTTGAAAAACGAAGGCGCACTATAAAGCTTGAAAAACGAAGGCGAACTACAAAGGGAGGCTTGAAAAACGAAGGCGCACTATAAAGGGAGGCTTGAAAAACGAAGGCGCACTATAAAGGGAAGCTTGAAAAACGAAGGCGCACTATAAAGGGAAGCTTGAAAAACGAAGGCGCACTATAAAGGGAGGCTTGAAAAACGAAGGCGCACTATAAAGGGAGGCTTGAAAAACGAAGGCGCACTATAAAGGGAAGCTTGAAAAACGAAGGCGCACTATAAAGGGAAGCTTGAAAAACGAAGGCGCACTATAAAGGGAAGCTTGAAAAACGAAGGCGCACTATAAAGCTTGAAAAACGAAGGCGAACTACAAAGGGAGGCTTGAAAAACGAAGGCGCACTATAAAGGGAGGCTTGAAAAACGAAGGCGCACTATAAAGGGAAGCTTGAAAAACGAAGGCGCACTATAAAGGGAAGCTTGAAAACGAAGGCGCACTATAAAGGGAAGCTTGAAAAACGAAGGCGCACTATAAAGGGAAGCTTGAAAAACGAAGGCGCACTATAAAGGGAAGCTTGAAAAACGAAGGCGCACTATAAAGGGAAGCTTGAAAAACGAAGGCGCACTATAAAGGGAGGCTTAAAAACGAAGGCGCACTATAAAGGGAAGCTTGAAAAACGAAGGCGCACTATAAAGGGAAGCTTGAAAAACGAAGGCGCACTATAAAGGGAGGCTTGAAAAACGAAGGCGCACTATAAAGGGAAGCTTGAAAAACGAAGGCGCACTATAAAGGGAAGCTTGAAAAACGAAGGCGCACTATAAAGGGAGGCTTGAAAAACGAAGGCGCACTATAAACGGAGGCTGAAAAACGAAGGCGCACTATAAAGAGAGGCTTGAAAAACGAAGGCATTTCTACTTCGAGAACTGCGCCAGGTTTCACTTTCTTTCTTAAATGTTTGCTTCATCCGGCGAATAGAACTTGACTCATAATGCAGTCTCTTTAATTTGTTGATCATTTATTTTATTCTCATAACTTGCCTAATAGAATTGTTTATGGATTATAATGAGAAGTTAACCTTACATCACTACTGGTGGGTAACACCTCCAAAACAAGAGAGGATGATCTGAGAGTAGGATTCCTCGTGCACCATGACAATTTTGTGAATCTATTAATAGTTTCGCGCCATGCTTTGAAAGTCACTTTTATTTCCTTCTGATCGAGGCTCCGACATCACGTTACTCGAACTGACCAATCAGGAAGCGCTCTTAAAATAGCTCAGCTTTGGATAGGCCCTTATAGATTGTGCTCGGCAACTTTTTAGCAACTTTTGGAGTTTTGAGCAACTTTTTGTACTGCGAGCAACCTTTGAGCAACTTTTGCCTCCCAGAGCAACTCTTGAGCAACAAATGAACTTATCAGAGATATTAAAAACACAACTTAACTCTTACTTTCAAATTGTGCAGTTGATTGAATCTACAGTGTAGACATGTATTGATCATGCAAATGATTTATATTCTTTGTTTTCAACTCAGTTTAAATTGACGCCCACAAATTAACAGCAGTTATTTTCAATTTAATGCCGCCCACAAACAACACCGCAAATTTCCATCGGTTATTCGCTAAGTGAGAGAACTGGGGCTGCTATTTTGTTGTTTTAAGGTGTTATCCAGGTTCTTGTTTAATTAAATGGCTAATTTTGACGAGCAACTATTCAAACATTGGGAGCAACGTTTTAAATTTTTGGCAACTCTTGGGCAACTTTTGAGCATTTCATTGAGCAACTTTTCCACAATTTACTAGCACAATCTATTAGGGCCTAGTACGAATTACTCGAAATGTCCACTATTCTTTCAGACGGTCTTGGAAAAAAGGCCGCCAGCTTGTTTTGAAAAAAAGACAAACTGTATTTCAGATAAATAACACAGCCTTGACCAATCAAATGTGTTTTACTCTTAATCTGATATTAACTGATCAACGTGTGTAGCTAAAGTGAAATGTACTATAATCTTTATTTATTTTCAATTAAATTGTATTTGCACTGTATTCACTTTATCTAAATACCGTGTATCTATAAAGGCGTGAAGAGCCATTTAGAATAATAGAGAGATTAAACACCACGTTCTACGGCAAACGGCAAACGGCAAACGGCAAACGGCAAACGGCAAACGGCAAACGGCAAACGGCAAACGGCAAACGGCAAACGTCAGCTTGCACTCGATTTTCTTTACTTTTCCTCCAATCATTAAATAAATCCATCAGAAAAATCGAAGATAATTCACACGTTCACGATAAACGCGAAACTACTCACTTTGACGTACAAACGGCAAACGCCAGACGGCAAAAGTGGGATTTTTACCGTTTGCGGGAAAAACAAACGTGATGCTTAATCTCTGTAATATTTAAAGTAAACCCTTCCTTCCACAGTGGAACCCCGCCCCGTTACAATTATTCGATTACCAATGGGCTAAAATAATAATCTAGTAGTACGTAACAGAGGTGTCGTAAGGCGGGGTTCTATAGCTACTGTGAAATAAAAGGAATGAAATTTTTACTTATATATTTTAATTTAATTGTTTGTTTTTTTCATCAAAATATTCAAACTCGATCTTTTAAACGGCTAAACGATCACAAGAAAAAAATTGTACTATATACAGTGGCTGTAATCTAGGCATTTCCCAGGCTACATATTACTATTTACATCCAATATTGTTTTCACATAGAAACAAATCAGAAAGAAGAATGTTTCTGGGAAATTAAATTACGAATTCTCGATCTCCCAATAGGAGTAGAACCTATGACCTTCCGTACACCGGTCGGAGGCTCTAGAAAGATACCCCTGAGCTACAGGAGACTCGTGGGAGATTATAGGCCATACAGTCAACTCTCTCTTAACGGACACCTCTGTAAGACGGACACCTGGTGTTGGTCCCTGCGCGCCGTTTTTTTCAGTCATTTTACTGCATCTAAACTCTCTATAAGCCGCCGGGACACCTCTCTAAGACGCACAGTTGGTGCCGGTCCCGATGGTGTCCGTCTTAGAGAGAGTTAACTATTCTAAGTTCAAATGTGACAAACATCCCGCATACAGAATGTTTCTGTCAGTTATATTTGCACCGTTTGTCTGCCATATACCCAGCTAAGCTACCCATGACCATGGCCAGCTTCTCCAGGACTAACTAGACGCGTCATGTGATGATATGACGAAAATAGAGACAATTAAAACGAGATTGTCCGTCTTCAGATTCTACGCATTCTTTTTTTGTAAAGTTCAATTACAAGCCGTAGGCCCCCTACTCACAAACGGCTGAATGATCTGTGTGCGGCTCGAAGTCTTGTTTGAAACTTTATCTGTAGATGTGACCTGTTTGGCGGGGCTAATTCTACATCGCCTTCGCGGGCAAGTAAACGGTAACAGCGCCAACATGTGCTTGCGAAAGCGTTCGCTCTGCCAACTGTATAACACTGGGTTAATGGCGGAATTGAGGGTAACCAATACGATGGTAGCTGTGTGTATAGCGGAGTACAGTTTCTGCGTGCTGAACGAAGAGAAGACGTAAACAACCAGCACGGGAATCCAGCAGATTGAGTAGATCACGCTCACCGTCACCACGAGCCGTGCGGACTTCTTGCAGTAGCGTAACTTGTTTCGCTGCGCCATAGTCGAGCTCGCCGTGGGACGAAACCACAACTTGTACACTAGCTTAGAGTAAAGGTATATCATGATTGTGATCGGGAGAACGCCGTACACGACGGCGCAGAGAGGGCTGTGGACCTGAGTGAAGTTAGCGGTGGGCCACTGGAAGAGGCAGAACTCACTGACGGGATCGTATCGCGCGTACAGGAATAGAGGCATGTTCCATGATACAGCAAGTACCCAGCCTAAAGCAATAATGCGCTTTAGCTTAGCGCTTGTTATCCGCTTGCGTTCGTCGTAAGGGAATTTAATAGCGAGGTATCGCTCCAGGGCGATGCAAACGAGAGAAAAAGCCGATGAGAGCGCGCCAACCCACACGAAGGCCTCGCCGGTGACGAGCTGGCATACAAAGTCGCCGATTCCTCCCTTCGGGTGCACAAACAGCAGGGTGAAGATGTAGCGAGCGGCAATAAACACCGCTACAGTGATATCGGCGGCGGCTAGATTCACCAGGAGATAGTTCATAGGGGTACGCATCAGCCTGTTGCGGAGGACGACCAAACAGACCAGGCTGTTACCTATCAGGTCAGCGATTACCAGGAAGCAGAATGCAGCGGTGATGCCGATCTGGGCTGCTTCTGAGTACTTGTAGAGTGACATCGTTGTAATTGAATTGGTTCTGCTGTCTGAAATGGCTGAAAAAAAATAACGTGACATGTAGCTTAGCTAAAATTTGTTCCTTAGCTGATACAACTCGCCGATATAAATTGTGTTAAATTTAAAGGAGCTACGTCACAGATGGCCAATTTTTTTCAAGTTCGCCGTTCGCAATCCGTCTCAATCTTCTCCATCCTCAACCATCCTTGTTCCTGTATGGTTTATTATTACCTCTTTGGTGCTTTTCTACCTTAGTAAACTATTATTTTGAGGCTTTCTTCAATTTGAAGGTGTTTTGCACAAAAACGCAAAAATGACTTCAAATATCGTGACATAGCTCCTTTAACTTTCCGTGCAGTTCGCAAACCCGAACCGCAATCAGATGCTTTGTAATTATAAAGCTGAATTTGAAATGATGATAAACTTTATTTTAGCCAATTGAAACAGACCCGGAAAGACTGATTTCTCAATTGAGTTAAACCAAAAATACTGACGGTCTCGCCGCCGGGCAAACGAGTTCATATCTAGACATGTTCTAGAATTCCCGGTAAAGCTTCGTTTGAAAAGCAGCCTATAAACTATTTAGAAATTGCTATATCGAAATTGACTATAAACCTACCTTGTTTTAATTGGACAGACAGGTCATTTATTTTTCTGCTGTCGCTTTCTCCGCTTAATGCGAAACTAAAAAACATAAAATAATTATTATTCTTATCAAGTGGGTGCTGTTAAAGCCTTTTTTAAAAGGCTAAGACAATCTTTTTTTAAATGAAAACCATCATCAGTTAACCAGCTCCGTAGCTTGGGAAAATTAATTCCTTTTGTTTTCGGAAAGATAAAATGTCGTTTTGGGTACAACAGCTAGGATTTTCGGAAAGGCAAATTCAGCTCATAAATTTGGGTAATAAGATTTCAATCTCTAAAATTTTCTGACGTTTGAAAGTTCAGCTAGCCGTATCCGAACAGATACATTTTTCTTAGCGTTTAAAAATACGCCATTAAACTGCACAGAAAGCACAATTATAACGTAAAAACAACGTCCCGACACCTACAGGAAAATTTTGTCGTTGGGTGCCCCTGGTTTATCGACGTAATAATTTGGTAATAGCAGCTTTGCATTTGAAATTCTCTACCTTTTCTTACTTAAAAACTAAAAACATAGGCAAATTGATAGGATTAGTCAAATGGAGACTGAGTTGATTGTATTTGCGTTTGTCTTGTCTTATTCTTAAATCAAACGAAGGCAAGTTGATGGGGTTAATCAAATGAAAATTGACATTTCTCCTGACATTTTCTTCCTGTGACAGTCATTGATAAATCAATTAAATTCTGTCGACATTTTCTCACTGGGCTCGACTGTTCATAAATATTCTTGTTTTCTTTTCTCATTTCAAAAAGAGACGTGAAAATAAAACAATAATTTCTTAGAAGCGGATAATCCAATTCTGAAAATGAACAAAAAATAGCTGTTTTTGAAACTCGACCCGTCAACCTGAAACTGTATTATAACTATTATCAAGAGAATATAAGGTGCCATTATGTAACCTGTCAAATCGTAAAAATGATCTTCATCGTGATTTCGAGTAAAATTAATTGGATCATTTTGATTATTTGACTTGACCAAATCTCTCCGATGAACTTTCCAAGGAAAAATAATTAAGAAATTTGAAGATTTGACATATCATTGGTCTTGTTTGAAAGTTAACTACAACATCTTTCATTTTCCTAATTATATACAGCGCTTATATTTGTTGAAATTAGTGAAAAACCAAAATGTTCGTTAATATTTTTTTTCTCCGTAGGGTGGATTTGGATTTCAGCATTTTTTTTCTGATAAGCCTATATCACTTGGAGAATTTCGTAGCAAAATGTATTTGTTATTTCTCTCAAGAAAAATCGAAGAAAATAATCAGATAAAATCAAATCGATCAAATCTGCTGACCCCATCAGAGTAGAAATATGATAAAACCGCATTGTCTAAAGCTCGTGTTATATGCACAGTACACAGACAACTCTCTCAAAGCGGGACACCACTGTAAGGTGGAACAACTCTCTATGGCGGACATGGTTGGCTTGGCTTGTCCAGGCCGAATTTGTTTTTCTCTAACGTAACTCTCTTTAAGGCGGACACCTCCATAAGGCGGACAGCTGGAGCTGGTCCCGAAGTTGTCCGCCTTAGAGAGAGTTCACTGTATACACCGAAATATGAAATCAGTGCTAGTTATCAGTTTACTTACAACAAATAGCTTCGTAGAAAATCCTTGTACAAACGATTGCCTCTGTTATAAGCCAGGACCACACGAGGATGAGAGTTGTTGAGAGTTCAAACTCTCGCTCTCGTTTGGCCTGAAACTCTCATGCGCTCTCAGCGACTCTGATTCTCATGGGCTCTCATCAAATTTGAAGTTGCCGTCAAAATTTTCTTGAGAGTCGTCGACGAGTCTCGCTCTCGTTTAGCCCGAGGTGTCGGATAGTCCAGCGATGGAGTTGTCTCACATGAGAGTTTTCTTCAATTCTTAGCAACTCTCGTCCTCGTTTGTCCCGAGCATTATAGCAAATCAGTTTAAATTTGGAAAGTTCATATATGAAAAGGAAAAGAAAATCTAATAAAAAAAATACGTTTCAAACCTTAAAATACAGATTCGATCGCGGCTACAACTTACCAATAAAATTCTAAATCTCAAACCCATCCGGAACGGGTACACACTGAATTATAAAGCTGATTAGAATACGAAATGATGATAAACTTTCTTTGAGCGTTTTTAACTCGCTTCGGGTAAACCGAAAATACACTACCGTGTCGTCGCGCCGCGCGAGAATTTCAAAAAAGCTTCGCTTAAGAATACTAATATATTCTAAAAAGGAGCTAGAAGAAAACACGAAAAACGTGGAAATTGTTGCACGCCATGACCTTACCTCAGTGATTTTAACTTGGCGAAGGTAATTTCTTTACGGTGAACGACGGAGAGGTCTTGTCGCAGTTGCCTTAGAACTGGCGTCCGCCTTGCAAAATGACATAAAACAAATCTGAACTGCAGTTATTATAAACTAACATGATTATTTGCTGTAGAGCATTAAGGCTATTTGTTCACCTGCAACAACTTCATATAGGCAAATAATAATAATTAAAACTGAAATAACGACAGAGTGAAAAAAATATCCCGTCTCACTGTAATCCATGTAGTACGTTGGACGAAACGATATTTTAAGCTAAAACCTCATTAATAATTTATCAGGTGCTTTTTTGGCCAACTAGCTGAATAACTGAGGGGAAAAAATAGAGATTAATTTTACTCGAGAGCGCATTGCGGAAAAAAGATAAACGCTTTAGATACACTTCGAGTGAAGATTACAATCGGAAATTTAATAAAAAAGGTTCGCCACCTCTTAATTCATGTTTACGGAGAAGGTGCGAGTGGAAGTCCGCGAATTCACAATTGTTTGTTCAATAGACGATCATTAGCCATTAAGCTTTGACAGTTCCAGTTAGTCCTTGAATTGGAAAAAAATAGGTTTGGTTAGAAAACGTACCAGGTCTAAGGAGTTACTGATTTCGCGGT